TATTATGGTATATATAATGTATAATATACTATACTAAGTAGTAAGTTATTATTATTATTATATATATATACTATAGTAAGTATATATATATATATATATAATAGTTTACTATATNTCTATATAGAGACATAATATATAATATATATATATGTATATATATATATATATATATATACTTATTATCATATTCATATTCATATCTATGATAAATCAGCATGTGGCAAGACACGTACATACTGGGTGTGCAACTTCCTCCTCCTGATGTCATCTCCTTCGCAGTATCGTTCCCAAATAGAGTCGTACGTGTGTTTTTCTCGGTCGATCTGATTCTCGTGTTGTTTTCTTCATTATAAGGTTTCTAAACAAACTCTCGTGTGCAATTTTGCCTTCAGGCATTTCCTTTTGAACCCCCACACTTGCAGATAGTATATACGAATCTAACCGCTTAGTGAAATATTTCTGAAACCCACTCACTCCTCTACTACTGTGTACAGGGAGAGCGAAGTCCTTGGTGCGAAAATAGGTCCCGATGGTCTGCCAATTGTAGAGGTTAGTGACAATGACGATGCCGCCCCTGCACCCGTAGCTGGTATGTTTGTCTGCACCTAGCACGGTAGACTGTACCCTCTCATCCACGAGTACACTTCTATTTAGCAAATCGTTCCATGAATACCAGAGAGTAAACTCTGGTCAGAGATATAACCATAGCCTATCGATTACTGAGATATATCCATCGCCTGTCTATTACTTATGCCTGGCGCATACGTTAATTGATCACTTCTTTCTTGCGTATCTTCGCTGCTGCATGTTCCTTCAAAAGTTCAACCCGCTATGCCGGTAGCAACGTGCGTTTACAGTTTATAACGACTTTTTGTATATCGAGAAAACACAACATATTGTTGCAAAGCAGGTCAATACCCAAATGGCCTAAAATGTTAAGACACAACATAATTGATAACTGTAGGTGCCGGGGTGTTATGTATTCTGCATTTACCGACTGGTTTATTTGGTACAAGCTTTAGCCCCATAACTTAAATTCAGAAATCCTGCTACTGCATCACAGCCAAGACGTGTTTAACTAGAAAACCACTAATGCCCAAACATCTAACCCTAAAATTCTTGAATCATCGCCTTTAATGTAGCGGCACCATCGAAGAAGAACAAGAAGAAAGGCAAGAAAGCCAAAAACGAGCCTGTCAATGCATTTTCCATGCTCAACGCTGGCATGGATGAAGATGTAGACTCGGGCAACGAATCCGCCAAGGCGCAAGACCCTCCCAGTGAAGGCGAGGCACCTGCTGCGCCAGAGCCGGTGATGCCTAAGGAAGCACCCGTGGCTTCGTTCGATAGCGAGGACGATGAATATGTCAAGGTACGTAGGTATATGTGTCAGGGTTGTTTTATCTGTGATGTACCCCTGGCTGGGTAGCTTTGCTGGTGAGATTTGTGTGGGTATGGGAATGTATGTCTGTAAGCACTTGCGCAAGAGTTGTTGATGCCTCTTGAGACACCCGTTGCTTCGTTCGATAGCGAGGATACTTCATATTTTATGGTATGTAGGTATAGTTCTGGATCAGATTTATATGTTCGTGACTTATGGTTGATATATGGTGGTGTGTCTGCATGTTCTTCGGCCTGGCGTGGGTTACAATGACTATTGAGCATGCCAAGTGAGAAGCATTGCCCCAATTTCCTAATGATTTGGACAAAAAAATTGATGAAATCGAGTGCGAGTTAGTCATAGCTGTGCGTAGTGTCTTCATGGATAGAGTGCGAAACATAGATGATGCACCCCTAGACTCCTCGCCATTTGACGGTATATTACATGTGATCACGCCAAGATAGTCTTAAGATACACATATGTTTCGTAGATTCAGCGTCTATCTCTATAGTACTATATATCTCTACATCACCCTTGTAATCGTGCTTGAATGTTTACCATTTGGCACAGCTCTTCTCGTACGACGGTATTATTGCACCACCACTATGCTTTCATCTGTCACACCCTAATATATTGTTCAAACGTGAACTGTGCACTTTGGTTTGAACTCTCAATAGGCTGCGCCAAAGTCCAAGAAGGACAAGAAGAAAAAGAAGAAGCAGAACAAACAGGAAGACGAAGATCTCGAGAAGCTTCTGGCCGCACTCACAGGCGAAGGCGCCAGTGATGGGGAAGCTGCCCCTGCCGCAGGTATGTGTTGCGCCAGTCACCTATAAATCAATCTACACAGTTTACTTTTTCCATTCCAGCGCGTATGTTTGTTTTCTTTTTAAAGAAACCTTCCTATAGATCTATTGTTCACGTCGAGTCCTATCAGATGTGTGAATGTGGGATCGAATGTATATCTCATTCCGCGGTGATGAGCGCCACCTGCTTCTGCACCTTGACTCCCATGAGAGATACTGTGTTTCTTCCTGTGGGTGTTTTTTTTACTGCGCGTAACTGTATACGATGCTTATCAAGTATTGTCAGGCCTGCACCACTGCTCGTATCGTGACTGCGTATGCCATCCCTCTCTTTGATGCTGGTTGGAACTAATGTTCAACCCTTTTATCCTAAATGATAGTATAGGTATCTGGCCTTGGTATCGAGTCAGACCGCGTGCTTCGCAATAGCCGAGCAGATTCTCTTTCATTATCAAAATCAGTTTATGTGCTTTGTAGTTGACATTAATTATTATGCCATCTTTGGATGTTCAATTATATTCAGAACCTGCGGCAGTGAAGCCTGGGACAGGGAACGATGGGGGTGACGACCAAGAGGAAGGGGGTAGTGGGGTGAAGACTAAGGCACATAAGAAAGCCGAGAAAAAGGCGAGGCAGAAGGCTGATGCTCAGAGGAAGAAGGTGTGTTACTATGCCGGCATACTCAAAAAGTCAATGGGGCGTTTTTTGGTTTTTGTAGGGTACGCGAGAATAGTATATACACAGTGCGTCCAACGGCTTGATACACATGATATCGGCAATGCAACTGGTGGATTTAAATCTCGTTGATTTGTCATCGGCGCTTCTCGCAAACACACGAGCCTGTATTGTATCGACCGCTTTTGTTATTTTCGTATTGTTAGAATGTAGAGATAGGCTCTGTCTTCTGCACACTCCTCACAAGCTGTTCTTATCTTAGTGTGCGCCACGGAGCTTATACTCTTACATGGACCTGTATACACATGCTTTTAGGATCCTGCTGTATCATACATCCACACATGTACACTATGCACAAAGACTTGTGGTAACCGTGATGTACCATGTACTCTTGCATATATCCTATACAAACACTTGTAGAAGCCTCCTGTACTATACGTTCACATAGATTACTATCCATGTACTTTCAGGAACTCGCCGCACAAGGCGGTGCTGAGCCAGAGGACACGCCAGACGCACCCGAAGAGGAGGCCCCTACTGCACCCGAGCCCACAGCCGCTGCAGGTAAAGGCAAGAAGGGCAAGAAGGGGCCATCTGCCGCCGTCAGGGCTATGCAGGAACAACAAGCCGCACTCAAGGCAGAGGAGGAAAGGTGGGTAATGATGGCGTTGTGAGTTATCAGTGTATCATGGCATGGTGACGTGTACTGTGTGGGTGGGTGGGTAGTTGTTGGAGTGGCAAAGGCACGAAGGGGCCATGTGCTGCTGTCAGAACCATGCGCGAAACTACGGGATTCACTCAAGGAGGAGAAGGGAAGGTGGGTGATTGTGGCTGCTGTAGAATGTGTGTATTTGCAAAGTTATGTAATTCAAGGTTGTTTGTTGCGCGTGGTGGTGTTGAATCCATTGTGGGTGAATTGTACTGTACAAGTGCCGCCTTTTGTTTGTATATATGTATATATGTGTGTATGTGCAAGTGTGCAAGTGTATCTCGGCGTATTTCTCATAATGTGATGCGTCGTCTGTAATGGAGAATCACATCCGAATCATCCATAAACCAGTAGTCCAGCGACTATCTTTGTACTTTTTGAATTGGAGATGTGACAGGCAGACTCACAGGCCATCGCCGCGTTCCTTAAGGAGATATGATCTGTACCCGACCCAGACACATTGTACTGCCACGTACGTATTCCCGTTGTACCATGCAACTACGAATGCGATGAAGTAGGTGGCGCATAGGTATAACCATGCACACTACGTAACCCATAGGATTGCGAATGAAATGAAGAGACTGGAGGAAGCGGAAAACGAGCGCATCCGAAAGATCGAAGAGGCCGAGGCGGTGGCTATGGCGAAGAAAGAGGCCAAGAAAATAAAGGAGAACGAGCGAAAGGAACGGCTCAGGAAAGAGGGCAAGGTGAGTGTGCCTGCCAAGTATATGCCTTGGATCGTCTTGCAAGTGTCTATAGCTCATATCCTTGTACGTTGGAACCGCTGAGCGTCTTGGTTGAAACGAATGTGGTCTATCTCTCTCATTTCAATTCGCTGATCTATTTCTTTCTAAACACTTGCCGCACCCGGTTGAATACGTTCGCACTTGAGATGTTTTTTATCTGACTCATGGTTGCCTCACACGTGCTCGTGACCTGTCTCGATACCATTAGTTGCTGAGTAAAGCTCAGAAGGAAGCCCAGGCAAAGAATGCGGCGTACCTGGCAACACTCAAAGCAGAGGGAATGCTGCCGGTGGATGCAGGAGAAGGTGAGTACTCTCTACAAAGCAGTATGTGGCCTGTTGAAGTGTGGGCATCGTGCACGCCCATGTCGGCTGAGTCATAGACAGATTCGTAGGGGGTTTAGGTTATGTTTGTGCCTCGATCACATATCGGAATGTACAGTACACCGTTGAATTCAGCTAAACCCTGAACCCTAAACCCTAAAAAAACCCTTGAACTTTTAAAAAAAACTCAAAAAACCCTCGCACCTCCGTGTTCATGGCATAGAATCAACCCCTATGTAGGTACGGGACCGACACCAATAGTGTACCAGTCGAAGTAACCGAGCGCTCATTTACGCGTGCTTTATTTATAATTACATATGTGAATTGACCATGCAGAGCCTGAGCAAAAGACTCGTTTACGCGTGCTTTATTTATCATTACACATGTGAATTCACCTTGCAAAGCCTGAGCAAATGACTCATTTACGCGTGCTTTATTTATAACTACATACGTGAATTCACCACGCAGAGCCTGAGCAAAAGACTCTCATTTACGCATGCTTTATTTATAATTACATATGTGAATTAACCACGCAGAGCCTGAGCAAAAGACTCATTTACGCTTACTTTATTTATAACTACATATGTGAATTCACCACGCAGAGCCTGAGCAAAAGAAGAAGGTGGTGTACCAGAAGAAGAAGAAGAACCCGCAACAGGTAGCCGCCGCCAAAGCAGAAGCCGAGGCGAAGGCCGAAGCTGAGGCGAAAGCGGCCGAAGAGGCCGAGGCAGAGGAAAAGGCTCGGGAGCGCAAGGATAGTGTCAAGGATACCTGGGACGCTAGCAGTGATGAGGACTCGCAGGAAGGTGTGCACGCGTGGGGCTTGTTGGTGACTGTGGGGAATGGATGTGTGTGCATGTGAAGGGTTATGATCAAGCATGGTGGAGAGACAAACGGCGATGGTGAGTGTCTCGGAAGGGTGTGTGGGCAGATGTGATGTATTTCGTGTGTGCGTTTGTGAGATATATGTTTGCTTGTCAGAGGGAAGAGTGTGCGATGTGGTAGAGTGGGCAAGCAAGTAAATGATTGGTATGAGCTGGCTTTTAATATATGTTGCGTACATCCCTCGAATGAGTCTGGCTTAGCCAACCAATGAGACCCTTTCTGACGTTCATAGTGCCGAGACGCAATAGCTCAAGCCCGTTGGAGTGGTATTTATGAACAATAATGAGGCATGAGATTCAGAGTTTTAGGCGAATATAATGGCGCAAGCACTGTACTGCTGTAGTTGTCTATGAGTGCGTTTGGCGTGTGTACTTGTAGTGTCTGTGTACTGTAGTGTACTTCGTGACACACGACCTGGGCGGATGTTTGCTTGGATTGGCCACGTTTAGAATAGTAGTCTTTTGATATCCAGACAGCGTTGATATTGACTTCACGGATACTTATGCATACTTTCTTTTGTTGGCATACGCAGAGTCCGACGATGAAGATGCCAAGGAAGATTGGGAGGCAAGTAGCAGTGAAGAGGAGGACGAACCACAGAGCACTAAGGCTAAACCTGCACCGGCCACAGTATGTGACTATTGTGTATCCACGTATATGCGCCAAACCCCCTATCTCCGTTTGTATATTCAATACTTAACCCGTTTTGAATTGACCTTTATATATTGTTGCGATGTCTTTGTATCTCCTTGGTGTATTAGGGAGCGTCGAGGTGGTGGTGTTAACCGATGCACTCGCCATCAAAGTAAGGGCTGTACTTGAAATGGAGTAGTCCCATAGGACGAGCCTCTCTTGATGTAAACGTGCCATTGGGTGATACCCGTGCATACTACCCAACAGCGCACTCCAGTAAAACTACAGCCTAATCTCCCATAACTAACGAAACAATGGTATCAAACGGTATACCCTATATTGCAGGTCAAGGCCCCTGCCAAGAAGGTCAAAGAAATATCCGAAAGCGACGACAATGACAGTGACGATAGTGACGACGACAGTGACGATGACAGCAGTGACTATAGCGACAGCGACAGCGACAGGTATACGTGTACGTCGTGCTGATTGTGTTAGCTCCCAAGGGCCTGTCCACTTGGGCGCAAGGACTTGTGTGGCATGTTTCTGCTCACACTCAAATACACATACACCTGCTCACCCCATGGGGTGGATGTACTTGTCAAATTCGACAAGACACTACATCACTTTTATCTACTTTCTCGTGGCTGTTGATCTATTGCAGAACTTCTACTCCCGCACGTTTGTGGGGGTTTTCTTTTATAACACAAACCTTGTATTGTAAACCTCATACCAGTGATGCCGGCAAGGGTAAAGATAAAGTAGACATGAAGATGATCGAGAAGAGAATAGATCTCAGGAATGAGGAGGCCCGCAAGAACGCGTTGGCAAATGAGCTACGTTCACCAATCATTTGTGTACTCGGTCATGTCGACACCGGAAAGACCAAGATTCTAGATCACATCCGTAAATCAAACGTTCAGGTGTGTATGGCGTCTGTGGTGCAAAACATGAGAGCACAGCCGAGCATCGAGCATGCTGGGGTACCGCTAGTCTGTGGTACACTATTGCTGTGATAGACTATTGGATGCCACCCGCCAATCACATGTTTCGATGTCTACGTTGGCTAAGGCTGTCTACTTATTGTTCAGTGTCATGGCTGCCTACGTATTGTTCAGTGTCATTGCTGTCTACGTATTGTTCAGTGTCATGGCTGTCTACTTATTGTTCAGTGTCATGGCTGTCTACGTATTGTTCAGTGTCATGGCTGTCTACATATTGTTCAGTGTCATGGCTGTCTACGTATTGTTCAGTGTCATGGCTGTCTACGTATTGTTCAGTGTCATGGCTGTCTACATATTGTTCAGTGTCATGGCTGTCTACGTATTGTTCAGTGTCATGGCTGTCTACGTATAATTCAGTGTCATGGCTGTCTACTTATTGTTCAGTGTCATGGCTGTCTACGTATTGTTCAGTGTCATGGCTTGTCTACTTATTGTTCAGTGTCATGGCTGTCTACATATTGTTCAGTGTCATGGCTGTCTACTTATTGTTCAGTGTCATGGCTGTCTACGTATTGTTCAGTGTCATGGCTGTCTACGTATTGTTCAGTGTCATGGCTGTCTACGGATTGTTCAGTGTCATGGTTGTCTACGTATTGTTCAGTGTCATGGCTGTCTACGTCAGTGTCTTCAGTGTTCGTCCCACAAATACATCCACACGCACGCAGTGCATCTCTCTTTGCGGCACTGCCCACACGCAGTGTATGGTGTGCGATGCTTGACTCGTCATAGGCGTTAGCGGCATCCGTGCGTTTGTATGCAATGAGCGTGAGCTTGCACACTATACGTCGCTGTACAAGCTATTGGACTCGTGTCCAGTCCAATCCAGCTCAGCTCTGATAGAGGGCTCTGTAGTAGCACAGGGGTATCCCTTAGTCGCAGTGCTGAGCTCTGACCACCACTGCTCGTACTATGTATGGATCATCGCACCGACCAGCATGAGTAGCCGCTGATGAAGAGGTCAAAAGGAAGGGCCAGCATAGATAAACCCTTTATTAGTGGCCAAAGCTCTATACACCGTCCCATCCATCACCCCCCTGGTACTATATACTCATCAACCGCTCTCACCCGCAACAGACTGGAGAGGCCGGCGGTATCACGCAGCAAATCGGGGCTACGTTCGTGCCTATCCAGACTGTGAAAGACCGAACCGAATGCCTCAACCAGAAGGGCAAGCTAGAGCTCAATGTGCCTGGACTGCTCATCATCGACACACCGGGTCACGAGTCCTTCTCCAACCTGCGATCGCGCGGATCGTCCCTGTGCGATCTGTCAATTCTGGTGATCGATCTCATGCACGGTAAGTTAGTGCATCTAGTGAGACATATATTGAGCTGTCTTGGGTAAAGCCACGACATATGTATCCGGGTGGTATGTATTAGTCTCTCTTGGGTGCATGTCCGGTTTATGTATCCGGGCGATATGTATCCTGGTGGTGGAATGCCCTTTGTGTGCGAATGGTGTTTCCGTATTGTTGCATCGGTTCACCAGAGATCACCAGTGACAAAATTCGATTTCACCCGTGTACTCTACTTCGCATACCAAAATCGTGTCATTTCAGTCCCGTGTTGGGTCAGGACCACCGCACGGCTACGGTGTCGTAACGTCCAAGCCAAATCCGGAGCCATTGTGCCTATGTATTGCGTGGTTGATACTTCACTGCCTTAGCAGTCGGTGAATAGTGATCGGTCATCTCTGCCTAGTGCCCAACGATACTTACACCTGTAGCTGTGTGCATCTGCAGCCCTTCTTGTACGTTCAATAGTCACGCCTGGCCTCATTATGATACTTACACCTGTAGCTGTGTGCTTCTGCAGCCCTTCATGTACGTTCAATAGTCAAGCCTGGCCTCATTATGATACTTACACCTGTAGCTGTGTGCATCTGCAGCCCTTCTTGTACGTTCAATAGTCACGCCTGGCCTCATTATGATACTTACACCTGTATCTGTGTGCATCTGCAGCCCTTCTCGTACGTTCAATAGTCACGCCTGGCCTCATTGTGATCCTTACACCTGTAGCTGTGTGCATGGCCTCATTACGATCTTTACACCTGTAGCCGTGTGCATCTGCAGGCCTTCTCGTACGTTCAATAGTCAAGCCTGGCCTCGTTACGATCCTTACACCTGTAGCTGTGTGCATCTGCAGCCCTTCTTGTACGTTCAATAGTCACGTCTGGCCTCATGGTCTGCTCGTTTTACGTTCATATTACGTTTAGGTTTGGAGCCACAGACCATCGAGTCGATTAAACTGCTGAAGAAGGGTAAGACCCCGTTCGTGGTGGCGTTGAACAAAATCGATCGTCTCTACGGCTGGGTCGCCCATGACAACCTGGTAGGCAGAATGTAGTATATCAGAGTTTTATTTATTTATTTATTTTTTATGGTGTTTGTGTGTATTGTGGTAACAGATGCAGCGACAAAAATGTCGCGATCTCTTAGGCATGTATGTGTGACACGCATAATGTGGTGTCTGAGTGAGGGCCTGCACAGCATACAGTATATGAGCGACTGAGCGACTGCTGAATACAACTGTAGTGGATCAAGGTATCCGATGTGGTCCCGCTTTGCACACCGGGATGGTATGCACGCGTGAAAGTGCTAGTTGTATGGTACTTTTGAGATAAGATGGTCGAATAGGGGATTATCTCCTGCTGTTCTAACTTGTGTATATTTCTGACTTAACTATATCATTCATACGCCATTCGCTGCAGAACTTCACGGCGACAATGAAAAAGCAGACTGAGAATGTGAAGATCGAGTTCAAAGACCGATGTAATCAGATCCTCGGGCAACTGGCTGAGCAGGTATGTTCCAACAATGGGTGTGTAACTTACAATGTTTTAAGCCAAGTTCGTCATACTTTTTTTGGGCAGTACTTTAGTGTGTGTGTGTGTGTTTATTTATCAACTATGCTCCAAGACACGATTTTATAACTTTAGCAATGCTTCAAACCAGGTTCGTCATACTTGTCTGGACAGTACTTAAGTGTGTGTGTGTGTGTGTGTGTGTGTTTGTGTGTTTATTAAACTAAGGTGTTGCACATCCCATGGACTTGCTGTCAAATATATTTCGTAGGCCAAGCTGCTATCCGTTTTTTTGTTTTGTTTTGTTTTTGTTTTTCCAGCACTGATAATCAAAGTAGCGATTTAATACGCACATTGATCTTTTCTTTTCTTTCTTCGCTTGTGTGTCACTGTATGATTGTGCCTTACACTTGCCTGCTCTCTGCAATCGTCTATCCTTTGCGTCGAAGCTCGATCATACAATGTAGTGTGACGTTAAAAGTCGACTCAAAACGCCACGTTTACTTTCATCCTCAAACCACAACTCTCTACGCTCCAATTTTCACTCTCCAGGGTTTGAATGCATGTCTATACCATGAAAACAAAGACATTAGAAAAACGGTGTCCGTTGTTCCCACAAGCGCCCACACCGGTGAGGGTATCCCAGATCTGATGATGTTGGTCGTACAACTGACACAAAGGTATGTCCGTGATCCTTTGCTCAGACTACACCAATTGAGCTACACCTTGTCCTACAAGTGGGATACATTGGTTGTATCTATGCACGTGCATACAATCTTGATGCATGGCTGTGAAGGCGTATCGCATTGACATCCGAAAGAAAAGGCCCACTGACTAAGCTGGTACGCCCTGTTGGCTTCCTGTGCGGCGAGGCCATGGGAGCCATCTCGGTTATACTAATCTCTACTTTTTATTTTCTCGTGAATGATAGTCTGGTTACACGTTTGGTTGTACTATTATTGTCTCGTAGAATGATAGCCTTATTACGCTTGTTTCCACCGCTGTTCTCCCTTTAAGAGTTATGGAGGGTTTCCATGCTAATCCCTACCATCCCACTCTCTTCTAGGATGATGGCTGAGCGGTTGGCCTTTGTAGACATCCTGCAGTGTACCGTTCTGGAGGTCAAGGTGTTACTGGGACTGGGCACTACCATCGATGTCATCTTGTCACAGGGAAAGCTCAGGGAAGGCGATCAAATAGTTGTGAGTGGTCTCGATGGCCCCATCACAAGTCAGGTGCGAGTCTTGCCATAGTTGTTTGTGTGTACTGTGTGTTTCTTACGACTCCAGTACACAACCCCAACTTTTGCCATCCAATATATGCACCCACTCTTGCGACTGCTCTCCTTGGCAGCCTGTGTGGCATATTGCGTTTTGCGGTGAAATATATAT